TCTCATTATATTTGTTAGCTGGGAACTTCACACATATTGTTTACGAAAGTGGCACCACCACTCAGGGCACCCACACCGCTTTATTAGATATTAGAGAGCTGCTGACCCAATGCTATTTTTCACATTTAAATTAAAGCAACCCTGGCTCTCAACACTGTGATGCTATTGGTAATCAGTTATGGGAAATAAAAACTATGATACAAGTGGAAAGTAAACACTCCCTTATATTGCAATGTGAAGCAAGTAAAGCCAATAGTGTCCATTGATAGACTGGCGTTCTCTGCTTTCCACCCAGTGCATTTGGGTTATCCTCCAGCACGCACTGACTGAATTTTCCGGATCCGTTTCATTGACATTAAAGGAAACGGTCCAACATTTTGATGGTATGTTTATCGAATTCTTTGCCAAGATTTCGATGACGAGATTGATACCACTCACATATCGGTGCGATGCATATGGAGCGAGAGAAAGCAGACGGTCGGCTTAGCTTAGCATAAATACTGGAAGCAAGGGGGAAACAGCTGCAGAAGAACAGCCTAAAATCCCCAAATGTCGCTTCAAACCTTTTGGTTTTTGTTACTCAGACTAAGCAAACGGTACAATTTTAGAGATGTTGGTCAGTGTATTTTTTAACTGTGAAGAAAATCACGCTATAGCTGTTTCCCTTAGCGTCTAGTATTCATGCTAAGCTAGGTAAACGGGCTAAGGTTTAGGTAAAGAAATTATTTGTGTCAATTGCTGGTCTAATTTAGAGTCAAATTAGTTTGCATCCTTTGTCATCAATTTGGGTAAAGCTTAAAGAAAAAGTTTTTAATATGACAATACAGAACAAATCAAAGCTTAAAGGGTTTATAGAGCCGAGGCTTTCACACTGAAGAGGCTCACTGACTTTAATGTGAAGGGAGGCAGAATCTTGCAGATGAAACATGTCAATTTATATTAAAACAAACAAAATTGTGTTCAGCTTAAAAATCTATTAAAAAAAAATAACAAAGCACTGCAGCAAAGCGGTAGACATATATTCCGTGTGCATTACAGATCAGAATAATGTCCGATGCATTGACACATGATCCTATTACTGTACATGTGACTCTCCCTTACGTCCTGTAACAAGGGATGCACCCGGTGTGCAGATTCTGTACTCGTGATGTATCGCGCCCCTCAACACGAAATTGAGAGACTTAATGACCCAATTGCCTCAGTCCCCATTCCCCAACGCGACTCTGCAGCACGTAGCTGAAGTCATGCATAATCCCACAAAATCTACCCAGCTTATGAATTTTAAATGGCGAGGCCTAAATCACAGAGCTGCTTTTAAGTGAATCCATTTCTAATAGAAGGGCAGACAGCTGGGATGGTGTGCGGTTGTTGGGGGTTGTCACCCAGAGGGGCGCATTTTATAGACTGTAAGTATATTTGTAATGTGTGCAATGGTTGTAACGTTGATATAATTGATGCACTGATCCCACGGAAACAAGAGAGGCAGATATTGTTCGTGTTTTTTGCTTAAAGGATAATCACAGTTCATCACAACACTGATATTACGTTAGTTTTGGAGTCACCAAGTTAATTGTTCCGATCTGGGATTGCCATTCAGCAAGGCAGGCTTGTGAAGCTATGCAAAAATATGAAATTCAGCTTTTAAAGCCAATATGTCTCAGCTGCGCAGAGACCCAAATGAAATGACTCAATGAAATATTAAATTTGCAGATTTTTTCTTCAGTTCTGTTTGACTCTCTGGTCTACGTTCTCTGGAGGACGATTGCCCTATATATTGTTGCACATATATATACATGCAGCAATTTTCACTGAAGGGGGATGTTGCTGTTTAAATATGTTGGCTATTCTCAAACTGAATTTGTTTCATTCCTCCAGTATAATTTGAGTCATTTACCTTAGAGGATCTGCAAATGTGCAACAGACACAGTATGAAATAGGCACACTTCATGGCCAGGTGAAGAACAGGGTGATATGTAAGGAATCGTACAACGTGGATAATGGCACACACTTTTCTACGGCCTCTCCTCAAAGACAGGCATGGCGTTGCACTCAGTTGTACTCATGAAAAGGTATTGAAGTGGGCGTGTGAAGAATAATAAAAGAGAACTTGAGAGGTTGAAAGTCTGCCGTACTTTCTAACCTTCTAACTGTGAATAATTGTATCACTGTCCAATTGTGACATTGTGGTTGGGACAATCTGACAATCGCCTCATTTGAAGCATACTGACTCTGCTATTCCTTTTATGAATAATCATAATACAATTGTTCTCACAAAGTAAATTCCTGAGATTTTGTAGACACCAATTACAAAATAGACTTCTGTTAAACGTTTGACAAGACTTCTACAATTTTTTACTCTTACTGTTGTGAATTTCTACTACATTGAGGTTTGTTTTTAAGGACTCCACAAGGGAAATTCATTTGCATTACAAGTCAAGTATAAGTGTGCAGTGAGCTACACAATGTAGTAAACTATTTTTTGTCAAGTGACTGGCTGTTCTTTTTGAGTTCATCATCCAGCTCTTATAAAATACCTTTAGCTTGTGCACAGTTTTCCTTAATGACGTCCCAGGTTTTACGTCAAACTAAAGCGGTTTATTAAACTGTTGTATAGTTGAACGTGTTGTGAGCTGTGACATCATTTACAACATGTCTAATTGTCTTACTAATAACCGAGACTTGCATTCTAATCTTAGTTATATTAAAGCATTTTGGAACCTCAAAACCCAGAAGCCCTCATCAGGAGAAAGTGATGAACATACGTACATATTCAACAATATTATAGGCCGAGTGGCTCCCCCAGAGCACATATAGTCAAACAGTATGCACCTTAAGGGAATCTTCAAAAATATTAATATTCTATGGAATCCGTTCCATTTGGGTCTGAGAGCAGCTGAGACACATTGGCTTTAAAAGCTTTATTAATCTTCACATACCACGTCAATGTGGTTGAATGGAAGGTGTGTATTACATACCATAACAATCGAGAACGAGACTTCTCGATGTGCCTTTGAATGACTTCCAGCATTCTAAGGCACTTATTCAATAAAAAGGTATGCGTAGCGCCTCGCAAACGGCCAAATTACACCACGCTGGCTATTCACAGCCGAAAGAGAGAAGTCTCATAGAGCTGGAAGAAAAAGAAGAACACAACAGGCACATTTTGCTTGCTTCAGTGATGTTTAAATCTCTTTCTTTTGAACACTTGGTACGGACTCGGAGATGGAGGTGGTTCTCAGCTCACGTCGCCACATTTTCTCCCACAAAAATTGCGGCACAAACAAGACCTTTTGAAAGAACTGCAGTCGGTTCGTTCACACCAGCTGATTCCGTGTTGCCGTGCTCAGATGTTGAGCTCATTTGAAGCTGCATGTTTGGCTGCTTATTGCACCTGCCGATTGATTGCCGTGCACTGTCGGCGTTTATCTGGACTTGAAATGCAAAATTGTCTTCGCAGGCAAGTTGGAAAAAAATGGTTCTGTAAGCTTTGAAAAAAAAAAAAACCCATTGAATGATTTGAAGTTGAAACACAATCTCACTCACAATCTCCCAATACATCAGAGCCTGAATGTTTTGAGGACAACGCCTGGTGGAAGGAGGACACTGTCTTGGCATGTTGCTAGGCGATGCATTAATATTAATGTTGTCTTTTCTCAGAACGTGTGCACTCTCTGCCCCCCTTGAGATAAACCGAAGCTTAAAGATATCTCCATCTCACTGGTACCTCTTTCATCCTCGTCAACACTCATATCAAAAGGTTTTAATTACATTCCGCAGTATTGCTGCCGAGCTTTGTTGAGAAATCACAGTTGCCTTTATAGTTTCCGGTTTGCAGTGCCGATATGCTCAGCTTGTGTCTGATCTGGTGTAATTGAAAAAATGGGTACATGGTATATCTGGTCGTGGGACGTGAACATGTTTGAGTTTGTCATGTTTTCACATTGAAAAAGGGTTTATTTCACCTGAATCTCACCATCACATCTGAATCTGAACCAATCTAAATAAAGAAATCTCTATTAAAATGTGAACTGTACAGCTAAAGCATCCCGACCTCTCTGTTTTTAATCTTGTTTTTTTTCCTTCCATTCAAAATTAGTTTTGAACACCAGAAATAAATCTGTGATGGAGTTTGCCCTCTTCCTCACCCTTTCCCCTGCTGGGCTTTTAGCTTGGAGTCTTTGTCGTAACCTCCGCGCACCTCTCAGCTGCCCTCGCTGCAAAACCATTTTCCTGGCACTGAAACACAGATGCTATCCATCTGATTAAACGATCAAGGTTACATCTCCAAATGCATCAGAGTCTACCTCTCCCACAAGAAGAACTGTGACAGCCAACATTTTTGGTAGCCCGGAGGTGCACGCTCCAGTGTCCTCGCTATTATTATTTTTCTGTTTACGTAAATTGGCATCTCTGCTCAAATTGAAAAGCATTATTGTGATCGAGACTGAGCCAAAAGGTTGGATGAATGATGCTGAAGGGATCTAATATCCTTTATTACTGTGCCTAAAAGGGTTCAATCTGCAGACCAACACATATACAAATGTATCAACAATGGTTATGGTAATAGGTTTCCTGTTTAAGTCTTTTAAACATTAACAGGTTCCAGGTTATCAAATATCTTTCTTTGTTTTGAAGCATTGCATTTGAAGACAACCGTTTGGGCCTTTTGAAATGTGTTGTAGGTTAAGATGGATGTATGCGCTGGAGCTATTCGCTGGGTCTGGTAGTCACAGTGAGGTTGCCATATTTGGTACCATTGTTCCTGTACAAAGATTACAAAACCTGTGTTTGAAGTTGTTATGCTAAGCTAGGCTAGCCATGAGAAAGTTATTGATCTTCTTATCTCTCTCGTGGAAAGAAAGCGCATGAGTGTACACCCCAACATGTTCTACTGGTTGATAATGATCATGTTAGTTGTCACTACAGTCATTTTAGAGTCTTTTATATTTGCTGCTGGTCAAACCCCCGACTCATTACTTTTCTTTTTCCTTCTTTTTCAGAGATTGAAAAAATCCAGAAAGACGAGGACAAGGACGAGGAGAAGTTCATCGACGTCGTCATCAACAAGAACATGAAACTGGGCCAGAAAATTTTAATACCAGTCAAGCAGTTTCCTAAAGTAAGTGCTGTAGTACCACCGCCAGAGACTTCTCCCAGAATGTCAAGTGCATAGAGAGAGAATTTTAGATTGTGATATTTATAGATAATGAAGCCAACTACAGCAGCTCGGGGTTTGATTTAGATCCCTTAAAAGAGCCACTTGAAGCTTTTTGTTGACGCTTTATGTGATGTAGCATATCTGGTGGATGTTGGCTGACAGAACTGGGGATAGGACTATATTAGGGAAGTTACTTCCTGTCCTTCTTCAGAATTGTTTTACGCTTTTGAAATGTTACGACTGTGAAGACTCTTTCACACACGGCTCCCGGTAAATTACTGGGATAACCTTTCTCGTGCCATTTGTGATTTTCACTACTCACACATGCGCTACCTTCAGGAGCATTTCGATCTTGCGCCTTTTCACACGTGAGGTGGAGATCAGCGGTACAGATTTGCCTGGATATCAATGCCTGCTCCCATTCACACAGGACCCCAATGTTTCTGAACATTTCCGGCTTAGACTGCATGAGCGAAAGGGACATAATTCTCACTCTTTTCATACACACACCTCTCTATTACACTGACCTTGTTCAATGACGCATTGATGTCTTATATTAATTTGTCAATGAATATATGATTCAAAGAAATTATCTCACAATAGATTCTATTTTTCTCGAGTGTGCAGTGGATTTCTTATGACCCTTTTTAAGGTGTTTTTTAAGTTCTAGTGGTCTTTTTTTGTCATGAAAATGAATAGCTTGAAGGGAGGGAGTGCGATTGCAATGCAGCACATAAGTCACATGTATAGGGTCCTAGACAGCCGGCTTCGCGATGACCTCCACGTGAAGCCGCTTTGAGCGATAACACTGTTGCCACATTTGAGAGCACTTCAGCCTCGCCCACCGCGAGGAGCCTTCACCGGCAGCAGCGTTTATTGGAGCCTTGCGCTCGGTGCATGACAGGGATTTCCCGCTGGGAGCACGATGGGGAGGTTGGTGTAAAAGTGAGAGGGCCACACTTAGACGGGAACATCACTCATGTTTTCACCTCAGCCCTCCAGGGGGAAGGACAGTGGTAATCTGCAGCGTGTGGATACAAGAAACACAACCAATGAAGCTCTAGGGGTGCATTTGGGTTTAATTTGCCCCAAAACATGCTTTTCTGCACAATGACACTAGAATTTTAATGACATGCACGTTAAAATCGTGCCTGTCAGTCTGTCGGTTTAACATGCAGGGAGTAAAAATTAGTCCAAAAGCAGCTATTTATTTAACACGTAGCTTTAAAAATTCAACATGAAGCCACTTGAGCTTCCGTGAGAAACACATCCTCTGTCAACACTCTTAAAATAACTGTCACTGAAAAAATTCCCAGCGTTCTCATTTACGCTCAAATTCTTGTCATATGAGATTCTGTGAGAAAATGTTACAAAAATGAGAGTGAAAATTGTTTCAACAACAAGTAACCACAGTGACCACATAGTCCTGATTCTAATCTATCAAAATATATGTCACATGTTCACATTCATATGCATTTCCATGGAGTCTGTTAAAGTAGTCTGCATCTTGTTAGATAAAGATCTTTAGATGGCAGCTTATTTCAGTGGCTATATATCCGTGTTTAGTCAGGACCTACTTCAGAATTCAATATAGTCATTGAAAGGCTGTCAAAGCAACAGTCATTTGTGAACCGTAAACCTTTTAAAAAGTTGATTTTTAAAAACCAAACTCACCCGATAGCGGACGGAATGTCTTTTTACCTGCTAATCACCAAATCTAAGTTCACTTGTTGGTTTTGCATTTACTCTGAGAAGGAGAGTCATTACATCACCAGACATTGACGTGCACTCTGATGAAGAGCCGGACCATGAGGGCTGTGGATGTTTGCACGTAGCGTCATCCGGAGGCTGTTCTACGTCTCCGAGGTTCACAGCTAAACAGATTTGCGTTGACAGCTTTGATAAGTAGTAGTACTAATGCGCTGTTTAGAGCTCCAACAAGCCACCGAAGGAAGACAAATTCAATTTGTTCTATCTGACAGGTAGCAATGGCAAGAGTGATCGGTCTGACTTGAATGGGTTTTCTCCTGAGCTGCGAGCATCACCTTTGGGCTCCTGGCATTGAAGACATTTTCCAAATAGCCATTTAGCAGCACGTGCAGAGAGGTTAGATCCGTCCTCCGCAAACATAGCTTTTTATCAGAATGAAGCGGGCAAGGACGCCACACAGCAAGTTCCAGGCTGTTGACTCTCTGAGATGAGACGGAGCTGTTCCTCAGCGATGATTTTTAACACCCAACAATGATGAATTTTTCGACTTTCTGAGATTAAAGTGCTGTATGGTGTAGTTCTGTTGTGTAATGGACACTGCAATAGTGAAAGCTCCGCAGCAAACAAGGGGCCTCGTTCACTTAAGGAGAGAGTTCTTCTTATTTGATTTGGGAACCAAACCATCCAATAATTAGTGATTGATCATTTATAGGCTTATTGATGCTACTAAATGAGACAGCTTGTTTTTGTCTCCAGTCTGGTGTTCCAGCCTCTCTAGGCCTAAGTTTATTGTCATCCTCTCAGTTTCTGAGTGTGAACACGGCCTTGAAGTCTGATGCCCTTTTATGGGGATGGGCGGGGCGTTTACCTGCTAATTAGGATCAACCGGCGCATGTTTTCAATTTACGAGAACAAAGGGATTTTGCGGTTTTAGAACATATAATAAATCTGACCTTGACCTTTCTTAAGAATAAATTTAGGACAAAACACAGGAAGATCTTGGTGAATGAGGCCCATTGTTTTGTAGAAGCCCACACAGTAGCTTTTTGTATTATTGTTTTAGAACAAAACAAGATAGAATTGAAACATTGGTGCCAGAAATAGAGAGGCTAAGATTTTAAATCATGATTTAACCAGTATGACACATAATGTCACACCTACCCGGCAACTAAAAATACCCCTCCTTCTGAACAAGGATGCGCTATCAGCGCTCATCTGTACATTTTGCCCGAGCCGTGGGCCCTCTCTCAGACAGCGTCTTTTGGCAGAAAGCACCGCAGGCCATTAGCGAGGCGTAAGGAGTCCCACTGGTTTATTTCCAGTTCAGACTGTGGCGTTCCTCTGTGCTGGAAGCGGTGATTTATCCTTCTGCTGTAGTTCCTGTCCTGCTGTCCTCAGCACAATCACTCTGCGCTGGCTCTCTGTGAGCCCACCTTTCGCCAGGCTCGCAGTATTACATTCAGCAAATGATGAAAAGATCTCAGATGTGCCCCCCCCCCCCACTCCCCTCGGCCACCCTCCCCCTGCACCCCCTTCATGTGTAGTGCGATTAATCATAAATCATTTCTCTACTTGTGTCCACTGTCTTTCCAATCATACGCATGACTATTTTTTTGTTTCAGCTGAATATGGTGCAACAATTCCAATTCAGTTTTTTTACATATACAGTCATTTCTTTTCTCAATTCTTTTTGTGTTTTTTTGTGTGCAACTAACACCACAAAGAGCAGCAGGCCACAACCTGTGATTAAACACATCAGCTTTTATTGTGGTGATTAGCACAGCAGCAGCCCAATCCCCTCACACAGTTTAATGGCATGAACCAGTGCAGGAGCCCAGGCAGGTTTTATTGTAAATCACATAATCCCTTGTGATAACTAAAGCATTAGCTAACCCCCAGATCATCAATCACAGTAGGAGTCAGACAGATTTTGATTTCTGATAAACAGCGGGGATTACAGTTATGTGTTCGGTAAGACTCTCATATTGGGAGGATTGTGCATACGAGGAGACGCGCGCCTCTGCAAACGCATCGACTGGGCGGTGACGCGTCCCAATGTCCAGATTTAGACTTCTCTGTGACATTTACTGGCGTTACTCAAACAAATGCGAGCAAATCTGCATGATATGTAAACTTTATTACAATAATCACATACAAACGGGAACATACATGGAATTTGACCTCTGCATTTAGGAGCCAGATCAAGTAATATGGTGAAAACCTGATTGAGGCCCGTACCATGTTAGCTATTTTAAACTGTGCCTTTCAACATGCTCAAAATCTAAATCACTACAAATCAAATTGCAGAATTGGAGCTTGTGGGGGCCCTTTGGGAATCTGAGGACCTTGCAGCATTTGCCCGCTTTGCTCAGTCGATAATCCGGACCGTCACGTTTTTAGCGGTATTAAAATAATTTGATGAAACAGGTGTGGCAGGAAAGATCAAGAAGCCATGGGTTCATATAGTGCACCTCCCCCAAATATGAATCATAAAAGAAAATTTAAGAACATGAATTATTAGACAGGAAACACTCAGTTTACGGGTTAAGAAATGTTGTAGAAGATGGATATCCAATGTGCAAAGCATGAGGTGGAATAGTGACTGCAAAGAGGTCCGACACTTTGAATCTATTCCAACATCTTCGAGATAGTCATCTAGCCTTTCATGCCCAAATCAAAGTACAAAAGAATGTAACTAGTTTATGTAATAAGCTGGACCAAAACAGTTCAAACTCGGCCAGGACGGAATAATTCAATTGAAAACTATCCTACAGGACATGCTTTGTAAGCAAACATTGTTTACAAAATCTGACATGAATTCAAACACATTCTGAAATGAATCAAATCTTTAATTAAAAGTAAGTTTTCAGGCGATGTCAGAGGAGGAGTTTCTAAGGCTGTTCTGATAGATCGGTTGGTGAGCACATTTTAATGCTGCAGTGTGCTGTTTCACAGTCTCATTTCTGTGAATTTGCTCCTTTATGCTCTCTGCCTGATCCCCGTGTGTGCCCATGCAGTCGATATGTCTCCTACACTCAAATATTGAAAGCAACGCAGTAGCGGTTTGTTCTTGATCAGAAAGCCAGCGTTTCTCCTTGCTCAAGCATTTTTTATCCATCAGTGTAACACTGTTGGTAGACCGAGGACTGGGACATCCACACTAACGTCCTGGACACCGCGTGCGATGCACAACCTGTCAGGAGGATGGAACGGGTGCGCAAAGAGCTGGAGTAGCGCGGCGAGAAGTCGGCTTTGTGATCTGGCCCTGCAAATCATTGTTCAAGAGACGGCACAGCTCAGTGACCAAGGCTCTATCCAGGTGGAAATGATGGATGCGCAGGACATCGGTTAAACTCAGCACATTTAAAACATTTCCTGACAACCTCTGTTTGCCCCGGCGCTGGCGCCGTCTCCTTTGATGAACGTTTTATCAATGTGAATGCATTAGAGGCAGTGTTTGCTTAGATAACTTTTAAATGGAATTGTCCTAACCCAACAATTCGTGTCCCACATATGGAGTTAATTTGGTGTGCAAATTGAAGTGGAGGCATTGAAATGTTTCAGGTGACGTACGCAGGACGGAAGTTATTAAAGTCCACACACTCTATTGTGAAGGTGGACATGTCTTACATATTCATTAATTCAAGGTTAGAGCTTTGCAGGAAGCTACCTTGCCAATTGTTGAGTGCAGGGTTGGAATTAGCACAGTGGGACACGGTTCTTTCAGAGGCACGGGAGGAATAGGCCCTTGTAAGATCACATCCAGCCACAGGACTTGGGGTAATTATAAAAGTTGAAGGAACATACAGTAGCTGAGATCTGCTGGAGTTCAGCCCGGTCCAGAATGAACACCAACAGTCAGTTACTGCATTAAAGCGAATCACTAAAGCTCGCCTCTCAAATCCCTCACCCAGGAATTGGCAGGAGCCCCCTAATAAGCACTTGGTTCCTGAACAAAAGGCAGGAGAGATATAGGTGCGGTGTAGAACCTTTTTCTTTACCTCCTGCTAGCTAATTGATGACCTAGATAGTTGAGGGAGACAGCTGTATAACTCACTGGTAAAGGAAAACATGGAGAGGGGGAGAAAAGCATCGCTCTCCTTTTGTCTCCCTGACCATCTCCAGCTGCTGGTGGAATTGCGTTTAGCCCGTGTAAAGGACGTACGACTTTGATGGGTGTCTGCGCACAACATACCTCGACACAGTAATGCATAACTTTTTTTTTTTTTTTTTTATGGCTAAAAAAGCGGTGACCTTGTGAAGTAATCTAAGCCAAGAAGCCTTTGATAGATGGAGACACGCCAGAGGCGCTCAAGTTCAATGTTAGCTCAAACATGCGCATTATGATAATGTTGCACATTTATATTCAAACATTCAGGAACATGCAGTTCGACAGATTCAGGGAATGTTTTCAACTGATATCAGTAAAGTTCTGATTTCATAAAAAAATCAGCATAAATCAGCATAAATTGTCTCATTTACAGAATTTCAGAGTGACGATTATTTTTGATGAGTGAATGATATTTCCTTCTTCGTGTAGACTGATTTTAAATATGTTTAAAAACCTCTGGACTTTACTTTGAGAATAATTAGTCGGTTGAACTACTGGCTAGATGTTATTGATCGTCTGTTCTCAGCTTAAAAGTGACACTCCAATTTAACATTTCCAATATAATTTACTGTCAGTCAAACTTTATTTATACAGCACAAGTCATACATCAATGCCACTCAAGTGGTGAACCTAAAAAGTTGAAAAGAACACGGGATTAACTGATTAAAACATTTAAAATGTAAAATAAAGTAGTGAAACTAGTAATTACTAGTCATGGGGAGTTGTACACTCCCTGTGAAAATAATTGCATATTGTCTGCTGTAGCTCTGGAGGGAGCTGCATCACGTCTGAGAAAAGCCTGACATCACTTAGGTAACTGTTGCATTGTGGGAAGTGTCTAGAAGCTTGACCTTGGTGCTAAAACTCAGGATATCTTGGCTGCTGCATCAATTTTGACCATTTGTGTTGTTGTCTGTGACCATTTAATAATATGGCCTATAGGGGTCAAAGCATAGTCCATGAATTGCAACATCTGGCCAGGAAATATTGACGCATGTTGTTCCATATGTTTCCCATCATGTGTTTACTGCCATCTGTCGATGACATGACAAAACACACATAGGCTGGCTGCAGATTTTTAAGTAATCTGATGAATGAGACGTATTGCACATACCCTAGAAGTTACACAGAAAAAAACACTGTGCAAGGGCATCATTTCCACTGGGGATGTAGATTATTGTCTCCTCCCCATCCCTCACCCCACTTTGACTAAATCAGTCAAATTTTAAAAAAAGTGTCCAGCTGTCAAAATTCAGAGGGAAGAGAAGAGTTTATCACCTTTAGTCGTTGGACTCCGGGTAATTCAATTTTAGGAACAGCAGAGTTTTCTTAGCACTGGATTTCTCCTCTCAGGAAACACACAGGTGCAGACTTCTCCACGTCATCAGTGGAGGCTGTTGGGGCGGACTGCAGGCATTTCATCCATGCTTTTATTCAGTCTATATTTCCCAAACAATATATTAGAATGGATGCAGTAGATATGTTTATTCATATTACTTAACTGTATTTCATATTTTATTCTATTCATAGTCTTTTTTTATTTGTCTGTTACAAGTTGGTGCCTCGGTTGGTGACAGTAAAAACCTAAAGGACTCTACCCCTTGTTGGAAAGATGATGACAGTCAATTTTAACTTCTTGACAACAAACTTTATACATGTAAGAAGGATATGAATATGTGTAAATGCAGGAAATAGCATTCTTTTTTGGGGTTGAAGAACCTCTGACTTCGTTGTGTCCTCCCTACTTCTGAAACAAAGCTGTCCACTGCACATACTTGTGAATTGAAAGCTTATTTTATGCTAAGCCTTTCTTTCCTGAGTCAATCGCCGGGCATCTTCCCGCACTATAAAGCCATGAGCCATGAAAAGGTGACAGAGTGTACCTGGGATAAGACGTCTCACATAAATGCTTCCACACTGATCCTACCAAGACGCGACAGGAAAAAAACTGCTGATAAGTTTTCATTAGCTTCAGTCACTTGCTTGAGCAAAAGACATGTCTTTGCACTTTATCTCAAACACACAGATTCTGACTGATCCGCGCTCTCACTCTCTGTTGCAGTTTAACTTTGTCGGCAAACTCCTCGGGCCACGCGGGAACTCGTTAAAGAGACTACAGGAGGACACTCTCACAAAGATGTCAATTCTCGGAAAAGGATCCATGAGAGACAAAGAAAAGGTAACGCCCCTGACTGTGATTGAATTTTTTTTTCCTTTCACTCTTTTACCTCCACATCATTTTACTTTGGCCTGCTGCTGTTAGTCTTCCACACGGTTCGAAGTGAAGGCATAGGTTTGACCTTTAAAGTTTAGAAATAAAACTTTTCATGTAAGAGGTCCAATGAAAATCCAACTAAACATTTGGATTATCTGACAAACTAATGCGTTGACACAAAGTGACTCTTGTTCCAGCTGTCCTCAAAGTTCCAAAACATTGTTAACTTTCCAGGTTGCTTTGGACCATAAATATGAAGTTCTTTATTAATGAACCATGCTCCATTAATAAATCATGAAAACTGTTAACAAGGAATTAGATTAATTGTTTGGTAATTTAAATATCTAATATTCAGTTTGCTGTCATAGAAAATATTCACATTTTAGAGTCTGGAACCAGTGATTTTATTTATTTTTTTACAGTTTTTTCATAAAGAATTGCTTCAGTTATTAAGAGACTTTCAAAATTGTTGCATCTGATTTTCTGCTGGCTGACTATAATGTATTAATCATTTTTATTGCTTTATTTGTTTTGTTAAGTGTCATTTTCTAAAGCCATATCTTTGTTGAAATATGTGCTAATCTGCAGCTTTTGTATATGATTTAGATAATTAGTAATCCAATATTTTCAGAACCTTTTAAGTTTGAATTTACTTACTCTTAATCATCACATGGAGAAACTTCTATCGTTTAGATGTCTGTACTCTTCACTTTAACTTTATCTCTATTTGAATTGAATAATTTAAAGCTGTGAGCAGATAGATCAGCATACTACAGTTGATTGACAGCTCATGGGTCACATGCAGCTTTGAAAAACAAAATTCAAAAGTGTATGGAAATGGGAAGGATCTTGGGGATCACCAAACACGCCTGACACTGTTCAAAGCCTGTTCTCTCATAGTAAACAAAGTACAGACCGCAGACTGCACAAATGACAACACTCTAAATGTATGGCTTTGTTTTCATATACGCTCACTCCCAAGATAATAAAAAGAATGCATCATAATGATTTGAACCTGAATGAAAAGTTTGTAGCAACAAAGGATGGATTTTATGAAAAGACTAAAACTTCCAATTTCAAACTCATGTCAGTGCATAAGAAAAGGATATAAATGTCTCCAACGGCGGCTCTTTAGCAGCACAATTGATTGCAGACTGGACTGGCTAACAGAGAATAAATCGACTTCTCTTGGCCTGTCTGCATCTTTCCTTTTGTTTGTCAGGGTTGATTTGTTGGTGATTCTCGCTATCATACAGCACATTCTCTTTGATTACTGTGCCGGCTTTGATGGTCCAACTCCTCTGGAGCACCTGAAGAAAGGATCTGTCATGGAGATATGCTGACCTCGGCAGCCCTTACCGGTCTGCGCCAACCCACTACAGGATTTATGACTGACAGCTTTCTGTCGGGGACGCTCCGTGCGGCGCTGCTTCCTCTTTTTTTAGGGGGAGGGAAGAAGGATACACATTCGCTACAAAAGTACTGCTTTATCTTCAGCTGGTTGCTGACTTTCTGTTTTCAGCTGCGCAGCATTTGTCATCATATTTTCTAGCACTTGAAATTCCTCGTGTAGGTCATGGGGCTGGTTCACTGCAGAGCAAAAAGACGGATCTACTTTCAAGACTTTTTCAAGTCGAGGTGAAACAAAGCGGTCTTTCCATTCCTGAGGCACCATGTGAGGCACTGTTTCTATGTACAATGATGAAACACACACCGCCCTGCCGAAGACATCAGGTGGAAATGCATTTCTTGCTACTCAGAAAAATACAGTATCGTGGACATATCAGTACTTTCCCTTTAAAGCACTTACATTTGGCGGCGGCGCTGCAAAGAGCTGAGATAATTGCTCAAATATTTGCTTGATCTTGCGTTGACAAGAATGGGAGGGCGGAGAGGTTGAAAGGCACCGAGCTGTCGGAGCCCCACCGCCTGGTTGTGGAACCTCGGTTGTCCCGGCGCTTTCAGAGCAGGATGACGTAAAGGCAGCGGTGTTTCCGCGCCCCCTCCTCGTTAGCGCCGTGATTAAGTCATCCATTTTCCTCCCTGGGACTTGTAGTCCCACTTTAATTTTCCTGATAGACATAACAATTACTTAAATTCACTTTTGGTAAGTCCTGCATCGGGTTTAATTGCGAGCTGAAATACCTTCGTTGACTGAGAGGACTGCTCTGTATGTGTAAGAAGTCCGGCACCAAAAGAATGAACCTAGCTTGCGAATAAATTTAATTTGAGTCTATTATTATTTGAAGAGCTAGGAATGATATAATTTAAACCACCCTAACAAGACTTTAAATTACGGTAGATAAAGTTCAGGGTGAGATTTTATTATGCTCACCGGTTTACAGGCTCACTAAGTCAATCGATTGATATTGTCAGTAGCTGTTCAGTTGTTATTTTTCCTCATTGTTTTATTGTTTCGTCATTGCCTATGTCGTAATCACTCTGTCCCGTCGTCTTTTGCAAACTCAAGCATTCTGGTGGTGGAGCCGTCTTCTCTTTTCCTTTCTCAGGATGTTATTGTCATCTTCCCTGATGGTGCTGGTGGTGTTGGTTAGATTTGCCAAAGCCGTGTACAGCAGACTATGTAGGATTGTATGACTGCCTTTGTGCACATGTGTGATTTATTTGGATTAAATGATATAACCGTGGCTAAGTGGAGGGCAGGGCCGTCCTTCAATCAGAGGATCGGCAGTTCGATCCCAAGCGCCGCTAGTCGCATGTCGATGTGTCCTTGAGCAAGACACTTAACCCCAAAATTGCTCCCGTAGCTGTGCCTAGTCTGAATAGTCTGATGGCAGGTGGCACCTAGCCCCTGCCATCAGTGTGTGAATGGGTGAATGATGACAAGTAGTGTGAAAGTACTTTACAAGTACAGTCCATTCACCATTTTACCGTTTAACAGTAGTAGTAGCTCTGTAGACATCAAAGGCTCGATCACCATTTCACTTCAACCAAAAGAAGAGCAGTAATTGGTCAGCAGGTAGAAAAGCTGCGGTTGAGGAGATTGGACATATGAACTGGTTTCGGTCCATTCAGTGCTTTAAAAACAAATGAAAGGATCTATAAACCAATTCTGTGTGTTACTGGTAACCAGTGAAGGGAGGCCAGTAAAGAGCAAAAACAGCACGACCTCTCTTGGGACCGGTGGGGACAAGCTGGTGGATTTCTTCAGATTGTAAGTATCAGTGTTGATGATCAAAGCTGTGCAGTTCATATCACAGATTGTTAGAACTTGACCTATTTTTCCAACATCTCTCTTTAATTTCACTTGAATGTGAACGCTCCGAGCTCGACACTATTCTCTGCGTCTGAGCTCCGTCTGCAGGAGCGCCTGCGTCCACAGCGTCCTGGCCCTCTGTTTCCAGGGTGAACGGCTTTTCATAAGCAGATTTGCAGGGGAAAAAAAGTGGGAGGAAGATTCTGCCAGTAGATATGAAAAACAGACAGCTGTAATCTCCCACCGTGGGCTGCTTAGCTGCTATAGGACTCTGCTGGATCACTGATGCTTCTCATCAGCGCTGGGGGAGGACTCCTCGTGTATGAAAACTGCTATCATAATATCATATGCAAATGATTTGGTCACACATACAGATTGTTGCACATGTTGAATAGACCTTATAGATGGAAAGACGGAGTAAAAGAACAAATATTTTATATTAAATATAAGAAATTCCTCAGATGACACATGCTTGGTCGTCTGTTATTAATAGTGATTGTTTTTTTAAATCTTTTTTTTCTTCATGCAAATATACCAAGGAGTACATGAAAGGGAAAGAGAGAGCCAGGTCTGCAAGCAGTCGTCTCTTTCTAACACCGTGCTTACACTCCCCGCTCGACACCGGCAGCTCCTGCAGCTCCGTCAGCGCTGGTGCCATGCGCTAAGGAGCCCTCTGCTCGTAAAGCGCAGATTTATCGGGGAAATTAACATATCATTAACATACCACAGGCACTCTTAAAAGAAGGTTATTTATAATTAGGTGACATCAGAGACACTGGCTTGCATGGTGCTGGAGAGGGAGAAAGTGAAGAGGAAGTTGCAGCCGCTGGAGAGAGGCCCCGGAGAAGACTTTTTCTTTTTTTTTGTTGAAAACAAGAAACTGGGACGACCAAACCTGTTGTTTCCTTTGTGTGATGTGGTGGGAGACATTTGGGGTTTTTGCTGTCCTATTTCTTGCCATCAATAACATTATACTGGCCTGCTTCTGTCGGGCCTGAATGGCCTGTGCAACCCCTCACTGTTTACAGGGTATATTTTTTCTGTTGCAGTCTAAATTAAATGTGCTTCTGCAGACAAAACTTATGGCATGTGCTCTACTTTTAGTGGTTTTAGTATAAAGTAACTAAACAACAAATACATGCTCTTTTATTATATAACAACACCTGTTTAAGGCTAAAAATCTGTAACTGCGACATGTTGACGCCTCTGTGGCATTGACAGGTGATTGGATTGATGTTGTAACTAAAGCAAAGAAACTGAAAAGCTTGATGCTTTCTCCATCTAGTGAAGTGAGATACTACTCAGTTTGAGTTGTTTAATGCAATGCATGAAAATAACGATGTCATTTGAAATGCAAGTCTGGTGCAGCAGTTGTTTTGAACAGACTTTATTGGCGGTGACAGCCACAACACGTCTGACCTGACCAGCTGATCGACTTCTTGGTATCCATGTTATGTTTTGTAAAACTCATAATCAAGACGGTATTTTGAAATAAGGGCACCAAGGATCAGCTATAGACGGATGGCCGTTCGGAACATAATGTCCTCTGTCCGAATGACATGTTCTGCCGTGCCAGCAGTGCGGCTCCATGTTGGTTAGTCAGTTCATCACTTTGCTCTAGACTGATAACTCAGCAAATGTTGGATGGGTTGTCATGAAACTTTTTGACAGAGATATGTGGTCCCCAGAGGATGTACCCGAACAACTTTGGTTACCCCCTGACTTTTTCTTGAGCATCCCCTTGATGTTGACATTTGTGATTTTGAATGAAACATCTTCATTTAATGACATCCCCATCAGCCTCAGCCATACTTGTAGATCTGTGAGGCTGTAATCGTAGTAAAGGGAAGCAAAATGTCAGATTGATACACCAAAGTATTGGTCAGAACTGTTGTAGATAGTTAAATACAGTAAGTAATTTGCTACATTAGTCAATTGTTGCAGAATCACAATTCACTACTCCTGACACTACTAATGTAAACATATCTTCTACCACATTAAGGATGTTCTTTTCTTTTTTTTAAAACTATTGTTAAAAGAACTCATTTCACTCTATCAAATATATTCTTGCCTCCCAACGTTGCTTAATGTATTTTAGCAGAGCTCACATAGATGAGAAAGATGCAATAAGATATTATGATTAAGTGCACGAGAGCACATATTTTATCCGTGCATTTGTTACAAGGACAGGCAGCTGTGTGACGACAAAGGTGATCAGTTAAATGTGACAGCCGCGGTAGAAAAGATTGTAGGGATTGCCTGTTTGCAAATCTATACGGTTAAAGGAACCCAGTTAATATCTCCTGTCTGTCTTTTTTTTAACTCTCCAGCACCGAAGCATCAAAACTCTTTGTGTGAAAACTCCCTGCAGTAAATCCTTGACAAAATACAGAAGAAAAAAAACAAGATAAATGTTGCTGACTGTGACAGCTAACTCGTGCTCGTTCCCTAGACAGAGTGTATATGATACCAAACTGGGTTTGTTCTTGTTTTTTTTGTACCATCAGGAAGAAGAGCTACGGCAGAGCAACGAGTCCAAATACCACCACCTGAACGAAGACCTGCACGTCCTCATCGAGGTGTTCGCCCCACCGGCTGAGGCCTACGCCAGGATGGGTCACGCTCTGGAGGAGATCAAGAAGTTTCTAATACCAGTAGGTTATCCTTTCTTTCTCCACATATACTCACTTTCTCTGGCCTTCACTGTCTTTCTTCATGGAGAAACTCATCTTACACCTGTGCACAATGAAGTGAGCGAGTAACAGCAGCAGTGCTTTCTCACTCACATTCTTTGTACGTTACTGTAATTCTGTCAGGGCCATCCAAGTGTTTGTGTAAAGCGTCTGGAGATGTGTGCGATCCTGAGTGGAAAGTCGTGGGTACAACAGGAATAAAAGAGCGCAGGAGGGGATTTCTGCATGGGCCAAACTCTTCTTGGCAGCAGCATGCAGTAGGGAGCTTATTTACTCTCCCTCCATTCATTTTGGATGATCTCTCCAGTGCTCAGAGCTATGATGATTTACATCTCCCCATTAATTATCAGCAGACTCCTCCCCCAACCCCCCCCCGTCTTACCTCTTCCCACCGTTGCCATAAAACATATGTATTGATAGAGCGGACACATGACAATCATATCATTGTTTTTATGATTAAAGACCTATTCCCTTGTTAAGTGTGTATTTTAATTTAGTGGCAAAAAGCAACCGTGTGAGAGGATGAAGGCAAACGGGGTCGTGAGGATTGATCAACGGGTGATCTGAAATGCTTTGCAGCCTCAGGAACAGCGGTCACGGCAGTACTATGAAGTACATTAATTAGATATTCCCGGGGTTGTAGCCCTGGAGATAGAGGACGGAATTTAATACGGTGTAATTGAAAGCGAGTCTATTGCTGTCGGTGTGTTTGTGTGTGAGCACGCTTGCCTCTCTGTGTGCAGGATTACAATGATGAGATCAGACAGGCCCAGCTGCAGGAGCTCACATACCTGAATGGTGGCTCGGAGGATGCCAAGGTGCCATCGGTGAGGGGCAAGTCAGCTGCCCGTGGAAGAGGGACACCTGTTCCAGGGCCTCCAAGGTAACCTGCCTCCAAGTGTGTGTGCGTGTGTGTGTGCAAGTTGTTGTGTATATGTGCACTTTGGTGCCACTGGGGAACGGGTATTATTTACAGTTAAGGAGCTTCTGGAAGGCAGTATTTGTACAGTATCCAGTTAATGCTGCCATTTAGAGTTACAGAACATTTACGACTGCCTCTCTTTGGAACCAACAACTTGGCCAACAACTTGGGCCAGATTTGCTCAGTTTACTAGATTATCAGTGCAAATGTTGGCTACAAAGTGCATGTTTCAACACTGATTTACAAGGCCAGCATCCCAATACACAGTCAGCTTCTGGACTGATCCTGGGACTGCGCTCATATGCTCAATGCAGGATGTTTGAGTTCATTATGTTTTATAAAATAAAGGATAATGTATTGATCTTGACGACACGTTGACACAACGTTGACTGTGACAGTGCAGAAACTTTATATGAGAAACTAAATGCATGTTTTTCATATAATTCTAATAGTCCAATCTTTTTGACAAATTAATAAGAGGCACAAATTACACATAATTCAACATAACCAGTGGTGGGATGGCTGCACACTCTGCTTGTTACACACACAGGGACATGTTGATGGGACAGAGAATTGGGAGACGTGGGAGGACCACCTACCTCTCCTCTCCCTCCCTTCACATCATTATGCCACAGCAGCATTAATTCCCCCCCCCCCCCCCCCGTCAATGGACAACAACAAATAGTCAACAACAAATATTAAACGATATTTTCACTGCTGTCAAAATAATCAAAGGGAATGAGCGATGACGCACTGATTGGTTTAATTCATGTTACGACCAAAACTCACCTATGATTAATTAAGAGACTACATACAACCCCTTTGCCCCTTGGGGCATACATGCGCCATGCACTTTATACCATGCGGCTGAAAAAAATACGTATAAAAACAATAAATCTCCTCTATGTTTACTTTTCCATTTTCTTTTGTTCATGCAAATAATACCTATCGTCTCTCTGAAGGAAAGGTAAACGTAGCGGAACCTTACATCACAGCACAACGTCTTGACCAGGAGGCTGCATGTTTGGATGTGAACAGATTTTGATTGCGACAATGGAGACCATTATTCTTTTTTTTCCAATTACCTACCAAACTGATAATGTTGTGGTGATTTATTTTAAACAATGTCCACAATCTGATCCTAAGACGTTTTGTTTGCCTTACCTATATGGTTGAATGGGTCATTTTGGAAGGCACTGACAAACAACCTGTTTCATCATTTAGAGTTGTTGGCTCACTGGCAGCACACAGTGTGTCATAATGTACAGGCACTGATACAAAATCATTCAATAGGACATATTGAAATAAAACTTAGAACAAGCCAAAGAAAGGTGTCCTGTTTGATGTGATAGCTTATCTCTCCCTGTTGAAGTTATGTCTCATATTCTACAAGAATGAATGGCAGCAAATAGCTTTTTTCAGAAGGCAGAAAAATGAGCCCTGCTGACTTTGTGCAGATCTCAGCAGGAACTACAAAGAAGAGGCAGCAACCATAGATGATTGGCATTGAACTACAAAACCAAAGCACTGCTGCTTTCATTTAAAGTTGCACTGTGCAAATGGCTGCTTATCTACTGGACTTGCCAGGCTGGTTTCTGTGCACCAAAAGAAACCAACCGGACAAGAGAGACAAAACATCTGCTCTAGCGCTGGGAAGTCCTGCTTTCTCTGGATGAAGCTGTCAATAAAGTTTGGATAAAATTCAATCAAAGGGACGATCTCACTCCATTACATGCTTTATCTTTTTGTGTGCATCCATTGTGCCTAGGTCGGCAATTTGAATCCACAAACAATGAAAGCTCCTGTATACAGAAGTCATCAGAGATTTTAAATGTTCAGATTTATGTTGTTGACTATGACAATCAACTAAATTGGTCAATGACAGGTTGAGCGTGTGGGATAAAAAAATATATAATTATATATACTGTATATACATATCTACTTATCATCAGCACTTGATGCCATTAAACTGCCTCCTGATTGAACTGGTTTTAGGTGACATAAATTAATTTGGGCAAATTTGGAGCTTCTGAGGCAGGGGACTGTTCTTCTCAGACACACTGATTTAGGCAGTTTACATTTGGTGAATATAATAGTTTATTCTATGCTGCCATATTTTAGCTGAGACTAGTGAAACTAGTGAGACTAGCTGAAATAGGTCGGAGGGGCCATTAAGTGAGCAAGTAGTTTTAATAGAAAAACAGAAATGATAGTAAATAGTGCTTGGTAGTACACAGTGATGCAATCCCATATTTGCATAAAAGTCTTTATGTCGATGCAAATGGTCTCCAGGAGATGCTCTCCCATCTACGCTCCCTGTGAACACAAACTAATCCCAGCTCCTCTGAGACCTCACAAGACTACAAATAAAAAATACTCATGGCCATTAGAAAACTTTAAGTCTCTCTGCGTCAAACACAAAGAGCCGCGTTGTTAGTGCTTTGTGTTTATAAAAGAAAACACTTCTTTCATCAGATTCTCAGATAAACAAGGTCACCGAGACGGGCTGTTTGTATTGCTCTGAGTCACAATATAATTGGCTACGTTTTAAATTCACTTTAATTACAATTTAGCATGCCTGTGTGATAAGACGGAAGTCCTATAGGCTCCTGACCAGGAAGTCGCATGCACTTCTCTACATATTCTCACTCACATGTGATTACCTTTGATTGTTACCGCTGCTCTGGATTGACTCATTGTAGCTGTCACATATTCCTCTTTGTCTTTCATTGGCGCTGTTGCTGGAAGTGAAGTCGCGCCATTAAAGAGGAACCAACTCTCAGTGCTCCTCTTGAGGGGTGGTCCAAATCTCTATCAAGTAAACATCCTCCGCTTGTCCCCTTTAGTCAGGAAATTAAGAGAAACTTCCCTTTTTTTTTCCTCCTCCTGACCCAAATCTGTGATGTTTCGCCAATAATAAAGAAAAAAAAAAAAAAAGCACAGAAAGATAATCACAAAAGCAACCTTGGTGGTTTTCTGCTGCTGCTTCAGATCAGTTGACGGCTTTTAAAAGGAAGCTCAGTCGGTGTAAAAAGCTCAAACAACACATTACCAAACCACAAGGTCAGACTGCCTTTGATTTCCAACAGAGCGGCTTGACTCTGCTTCCATCATGATTACAGTGCAGTTTAGACTCTGGGTTCTGTGTCAGTTCATCTGCATGGCTGCACATATATCAGTATCTCGCTATTTTGCAGCAGAGCTTTATGGGAATTATGCCTGTTTGCCGAAACATTTAAGGTAAAACCAAACCCCCAAACTGGCACCACAGTATGTAAAACATTAATGGTGAAAATTGGGTTAGTGTTCCACTTCCCCACAGTCAAAATGTTGGGCTTCATTTCAAGACAAGAAAACATCCATCACCATTTTTGTCATCTGCCTTTTACTGAACAGACAGGAAAGCAATACAGCCATAAGACGTGCTGTGTTTTGAGTAATGGACGTGACTCACTTTTTCTCGACTGGAGGTACTTGCCCTCCACCCTCGCTTTTCCTCAGTCTCTCCACCTACACATGTAACCTGCCGCTGAATGTATCAGATGCACCGCTGTGGTTTTACCAAGTCATTCTGGAGGATGTAGGAAATCACTAACTGGAGTGAAAGTAGACGAGACAGCTTGACTGCAAACATAATAAATTACAGCACCTCATCATGAAGACCTGGGATGCATTGGCGTCTCATATTTATGATAGATAATACTATAATTGTAATAGTATCTTTTAATGCTTTAAAATCAACATGTGTAGAAAGAGGATATACTGCATGTTACCTGATCCATCCCATCTATGTACACACATTTATTTCTCCCTCCAATAATTCACAGAACTCATCACACTCCCCTCAAAAAAGGGACATAGGACATGCATTTAAGTTTGTGCTCTTTCCTCTAATCCTGAGTGGATGTTTTGTGTCTCTTGTCAGGACTCGAGGAGGAGTTCCTCCACTGCATGCAGCGGTGCCCCGGGGAGCAGCACCCAGAGGAGCCCCACCCATCCGGGCTCCGTCTTCCAGAGGGAGGGGGGTTCAGAGAGCCAGAGGGGCCCCGCCAACCGCTGGGTACCGGCCGGCTCCTCCCATAGTTCAGGACACATATGGCGAATATGTGAGTATATTAAAACTCATGCACAAATGCCAAACATTTGCTTAATCCAGTGTTTCAAGTTGTGAGAATTTGCTGCTTTTCTGTGTTTTATGTCTGGATATCTGACTAAACAAGCACATCAACTTGTTTTGGGCTGTGGGAGCTTGTGCAGGCCATTTTTCATTCTTTTGTGGCATTCTTATAGACTAAACAATCTGTGCCACTTTATTATCCACAGTGTTAAGACATATAATTAGGAGTCAACAATGCATACGTTTCAGGATGCAATCAATACGGCATAGCTGTTGCAGCAGCAGCAGCAGTGGACGCTACCTGTGATTCGGGTGTCAGCCGATACAGCTTACCGATCAGATACCGGTGTTTAACCAATAAGCTGTACGCCTCACTGTGTGGAAGTGACTGAGATCATTCTTCCATGTGCAAGGCAACATCTCGCTTGGCTTAAACATTGCGTTCTTAACTTTGTAAAACAAAATACAGCAAAAAAAAAGCATAGATGTAAATGTGCTGAATTGTTATTTATTAGAAATAATGGTATCTGATATCAGATCAGCCTATTGTCAAGACACCCAATCCTGCTTTTTGAGTCAGCATCAGACTGATATCTGATATCACAAGATAAAAAACGACCGTTCACATAGGAGTTTGATTTCACTCGCCATTTCATTTGCATTATTGAAACGTGATCGCAATATTCTGTAGTTGTTCTGTAGGAGGTGGGGTTCATAAAAAAGAGAGGGAGATGATGATGATGTAGAAATATATTTCATAATTAATTATCTACAATATGAAATCAATTTGATGCTTTGAAGCACTGCCAATGAATATTAGGTTGGAAAATACAACATTTGCCCGATTTAACACAACCTCCCATATAAACACACCCATGTTCAGTCAGTTTGAGACATATTATGTTGTTAGTTGGACACAGAAGAGATATAGATAATGATGTCTCTGTACACCTCTAGAAGGTAGTACTAACCAATGAAAACAGCTATAGGCAATATCTTTGAATTATCCACCATAGCAGAGAGACTGTTCTTTTCTTAAACGTATTAATTTCAATGTTGTCAGCATCACAAATGGAATTGCACTTATCTCCATTGTATTGGGGTGGCATCACTTTATACCATGACGTGAGACAATAAGTTGTTTCATAAGTTGGGTGAACTAAACATGTGCATTTCAGCACAAAATATGCACAGCTGCTTAAACATCAGCCTGTAGGAGTTGATCGCCACCATATTAAGTTTTTTATGTTGCGACATGAGGAGTTAGCAGAGTGTGAATTATTGTGGTTTGTTATTTTAGCTTACCTGCACAGTCTTATGGGAACCTGTCTGTAATATCAACAGCTGCCAGAGATGAATATATTAGGCTTAGAGTCGACTCTTTGTGCATTTGCCAAGAGAGTCCCCCGCCGCACTGTCAAGGCAAGTTCCCCAGGGACTTCAGCATCAACATCGCATATTTAGCAGATAGAAGGAGAGAGGAGGTGGCCTGCGTTGCGAAATTGCCCCAGCAGCCCATACCTAACCACATCTGACAGGTTTATTCGGAGGTTGCAATTTAAATGTGTGGAGGTCATAGAGAATGACTCCTGGACCAGCTGTTTCCCATCATTGTCACAGTTGTAAACTGCATCCCCCGACACCTGCACCTGTGTGTCCGGGTGGAGAAAAAAAGACCCCCAACATCTGCCGGATGATAAATCTAACCACATCGCTGCAAATTAGAAGCTGAATGAGTTTGACTCTGTATCATCAGAATACATCACCATCCCAGGACAAGTGTTCTCCATCAGGCTCTGACAAATAGGCTCTTGTATTCATCAATGAAATGCCAAGCAAGTTTTTTTTTTACATTTGTTGCCTTCATTTATCGCTGCTTACTATTCAATCTTATGCATGTTGCCAGTGTTCTCTTTTTGCTGTGAGGCATTGCCACGGGCCAAAACATTTGTTCAGCTGGAGGCGTTGTCTTCGTCTCTCTTGTTCACATTAAAAGCACCAGACCTCGGTTACCTTTTGGTGAATTTGTCATGATGACGCATGGATACACACTATCATTGTCTGGATGTTTTTTGTTCGACATAATCTCCCTCTGTTAAAGCTGTTTGTATCAGTATCAAATTACTCCGAATCCAATTGTTACCAAGTAAAATTCACAGAAATGCTATTATCCCGTGATCCGGTCCTGGCAGGCCCATCAGTCTTGAATGGTTACTATGATTGCAGCCAAATCTCATTTCATGTAATTCATTAGGTGCATTAAGAGCTCTTTCTTACCTGCTGCTAATCCCGTTGGAGAACAATTAGACATGATGTAATTCTCATTACAGAAACGAGGCTGCATGTCGTCTTCTTTGTTCTATATCATCTCTGCCAGCATGAAGGAGGCTAATTGAGGTAGCAGAACTTCAGTTTCATGTTAAATCTAGAGCTATATGTAAGAGTGTTTGTTTTTGTTTACACAGAAGCTTAATTCCCCTGGGTGAGAAGACCAAGAAATGTGCAATGCACGTGGGTTGGTATCGTTTGTTAAATCCTCCAGATACAGTAATCCGTTCTCAGCACTGTGGGTCCTCGCTGAGTGTTGTGGCATTAAAAAAAACATCCCCCTCTCCGCATGTCCAGCCCCTTTGAGAGCCAAGCATTGTTAATTGAATCATGTTCTATATGGAAAACATTTCAGATATAGTAATAAATAAGCTGCATCCAATTGCTGTGGCAGGCAAGACCAGTCATGAAGGGAAGATTGAAACCCATCCACGTGGGACAAAACCTGTGATTTGTAATAATTGCTCCTATTCCCACACATTACAGCCACATATACAGTGTATGCACATATCATTTATATTCTCACAATTGTATTAGCAATGCCAGCAGTATGAGATGGCAATGTTGGTTGGTGGGTCAGCCCACCACTTGGTGATTTGCCATGAAAAGTGGTACATATATTCATGGTGCCCAGAGGATGAATCTTAATGTTTCATGTAGCGCCACCAACAGCTTACATTTTTCAATTATGCAGTGAAATACTTTTAACATCTCCAAGAAATATAGCAATGCAATTTTGTAGAGGTATTCATGGCAAGCAGAGGGTGAAATACAATGACTCTGGCGGTCCCTGACCTTTTCCTGCCACCAGTAGGTCATATTTTAACTCTGTCGAATACTTTTGGTTTGCAAAACGAATGGCATTTCATTCAGCCTTGGCTGTACTTCCATCTTAGGGCTAATCAGCAAATATTAGCATGCTAACATGCTAAATGAAGATGTTAAACATTTCACCTGCTCAGCATCAGTGTAACATTGTCATTGCGAGCATGTTAGCATGCTGACGTTACAGAGTGGCTGTAGACTCTTAGAGTTGTCATATTACTGTTATAACAGTTGGAGTAAAACAACGACAATCAATACATTATGAATATCTCATATGATGATTTTGTAGAATCCCTTCATAGAACCACCTCACTACAAAAAGTTGTTGGAACCCACTGTTCAGCCAAGGCCGTTCTGTGTAGACTTTGCATATTCTCCCCGTGCCTCCATGCCTCTGCACAGGATAAGCAAGAACAGACGAGTAGAGCTAGTTGCATCAGACGCAGTGATGTTGAATTTCATTTTCATTTTCATTTTCCGGTGCAGATGTTTTATGCAGGGCTAATGCATTAATGACGTGAATCCCCCTGATACTACTTGACAGGTGTGAATGAGCTTTATTCAAAACGTAGCCAAAAGATCAAAAACAAAAAGGTGGTAAAGTAAGACTGAGGAAAGCTAAGACATTTGTCAAGTGTGCACAGGTTTGTGATACTTCAACTTGATGCATGGGCCAACTTTTTTGGCGTCCTCAATCTGATAGCTTGAGTAGTATTTCTACCCCTGCAGCGGAAAAAGCTTCAGCAAATTCCAGCCTTTTCAGCGTTCTGAAATATGCTGGCAGGAAGAGCAGAATAAATGACACGTAGCTTTGAGAAATTTTGAGAGCAAGACGGATGACCGAGGGTTACAGATACTGCATTCTTTGTTTTCTTTGAGCAACATCACAGGGTCTTATTTTGCTAAGAAGTTATAGGAGGAATGTGTGGCACAGCTGTGCAGAGAAGACACTTTTTTCTTTGACCAGATGGTATTGTGCTGAAGTCATCCAGGAAGAACAAGGCTTTTTTTCTTCTTTTGATTTGCTTAATTTTCTTGCTTTGTTGTTTTGCATTTGTGACACCTTACGGGTTTAAACGCAGGCCACGCAGCATTCGCAGTTGTCAGCAAAGTTCATAATGTGAGGACAGCGTGTTGCTAAACTCATTTGGATTCAGTACAGTGTGCAGGGAACAAATCCAGCGCCTGACAAGCCTGCTCTGGGTGTCAGTGGCATCCTATCTGTTACACTGATATTGCAGAGCACAGTGGAGCGGCTGTGATACCGCTGTTGTAACATGCAGTGCCAGGCCCTCTGTTAGTCTTCAGTGGCCTCAGAGGCCAGTCCTTATCTTTTAACAACACGCCTCTCAGCCATCCACTGGCATACAAATGAAAGGCTCACTTAGGAGCTGTCCCCCCCCCCCCCCCTGCAACCTCTCACTGTCACACTAATCCTGTTTAGTGTTGGAAACACAGCACTGTCGCAGTATTGTCGTGCTATTGTGCTCTCCAAGATATTTTGGGTAAATGGTATATCAATACAAACACATCAGATATTATAATAGCTTCACTCACACTACCATCACAGTCCGCTTCCCATTTTAAAGCTGTTTTTCCTTGTGTCAGACACCAAAGAAAAGAGCCATTTTCAATATGCCAGTGTGATTTATAAACCGAGCATGTTTCTGCTCTCAGCTTGCTTGTAACTCAATTAAAGAGTAGCTGCCCTAATAAATGGAACTAACATGCCATTGTTAAAGTGTAATATGGTCCTTAATACCAGGCAGTGCAGTCGAATGTGAGTGGACAGCACCTTGAGAGAGTTGTCTTTGAGACGAGAGGAGGACTCACTTAACACTAATGGCACATGGCTCGTGCTGAAAACTAATCAGGGTATCTAGTACCTGTTCTGCTGTGTTAAACCTTATATCTGTTCAGGTTCAGTTGGCCCAGAACAATGCTGATGTCAGTAATGTGAGAAGGATGCTTTAGTCCAGATATTTCAGCAGCTACTTATAATGAAATGTGTTTTAACCACCAAGAGAACAGTTCCCCAAAACTTCAGTAAACATTATCACAATTCCTCGCTACCTAGATATCTACTTGGGTGGGTTTCTGTGGAATTAGTATTTGATATGCATGGTCCCAGAGGATTCATTTCAATGTTTAACCAACCCCCCCCAAATGTCCTCTACTCCAACGTACATGCCACACTTCACAATGTCAGATTGTTATTAATTACCTAGCACGTTCATGCTCCCCAGAGGATGAACCTTTTGCATTTTGGTCAACCGATGATTACAGATTTTCTCTAGATTTTGCTGGTTGAGGGAATAAACATTTTTTAATTGAGTGACTCGTGGTGTTTCTCCTGGCAACCTCAACTGTTGGTTATTTCGTTGCACTTGAGTACTGTGACAGCTAATGGTTCATAATTGCAGCCTCTAGGGTTCTCTAGCAAGCCTTTTGAATTCAAGGTGGTGGTAGAACAGACAGTTTTGCCATTTTTTCATGTTTTGTCTCTGTGGCATAATCTCATGATATCAGCCTTGTGTTGGATGTGGGTGTGTTTCGAATTTTCAACTTCAATTTAATGTAACTGACAAACTAAGCCCCACCATTGTCTGGACAGCCTCTGGACAGGATGCACAAGAGGATGTCGGTCGGCGGCTCGATCACTGGCTCGATCCCCGGCGTAATCCTTGAGTACCAAGAGTATATACGAGCTACAGGTTTCTGATAGTTTGAAAAACTACATTTTAAATTGCATTAACACCTTAGTTGTCTCCTTACAGCCTCCTTAACATAGGAACATCATAAGAAATGTGTAAAAACACATTTAATTAGTTATTTCTTATACAGAAGGAAATTTAATTAATTAAGCCTTTCTAGAAATAAATACAATTTCAAGGTGTAGGAGAGAAATGTCCTCATCTCTGCTGGAATTTGTATCACTGCTTTGAAGAAACATTGTGATTAAAGTTCATGATATCAGTGTCTTATATGCCCGGTACAGCCGACTTTGTCATTGTCTTTGACTAGCCCCACCTGCTCTGCGTCTTTAACTAATTGAACACTCAGCCCAAAAGGCAATAAGATGCTCGTTATGATCCAATTATATATCTGCAACACAGCGTGTAGTCCCTACACTTTATACATTTCAGAATTTCACTTTCCATTTATACATAATGCTTTTCCCTTTAGTGGCCTTATTTATTATCATGTGTCCAAATGGCAATCATAGTTATGGCCTTATTATATGGGTAAAAGACATCAAACTGAAAGACTCGGTGAAGACAGTCGACTTAGTCATCTTTTACAGAATTTGACTCTCCTCGTGTTTTTATACTCAAAGAAAATATTTTACTTGACAACTGAGGTGGCCTGCACGATCACAGCTGCATGGTTTTGCTCCTGTCGAGATTCTTATCATTCAATATTTATAACCCTGCTCATTTATTCCACTCTGCAATAGGTATAATAGAGACTATTAGATTTAAATATAGTGAAATACAGATGATCCCTAGAGTTTTGCGACAAAAACATGCGTGTTTCTTACAAAAACAAAGACGTCATTTCAATTTCAAATGAGGTGACATTTCCTAGCTTCAAAGACTTAAGCTGTGGCTTTGAGAAAACAGTGTACGATGCACTGGGTATTTCCAACACTTTGAAATGCTAAAGTATTCAAAATTCATAGATAAAGTACAGCTGATGGTAATCTGATGCCCATTCTGTATATATGCGGGAAAATGTCTATTGCCTAAAAAGAGAAGCGTATGCCAATTGAATGGACCGGTGCAGTCTAGTTGCAGGCCCAGTGCTTGGCCTGTGGTGCTGCTGCTTGCAGCTCTCTCTTTAACCAATGCACTTCCCTGGGTCTTGAGCAATACACCTACCATGACATAGTTCCATCACACACTCAGGTCGTGGCTGCTCACTTTCAGAAACACCGGTGAAATACACTCTTCGGGAAAAACACCGGGGGCAGACTTTACCGTATGACAAGGTAGGCAACCGGAGACAGGGGGCTCAACGACAAGGGCCCCAAACAGCTATAGATTTATTATGATGTTTAGATATTAAAAATATAAAATTACATTACTATTCTATAACTCATTGTCCCTCGGTATAAAAAATAAGCAACTCTACTACTCATTATGGAGAAATGTTACTGCTTACTCCACCTTGAACAGAGTAAATCTAAAGTAAATTTAAGTACATTGTGATAATAATGACTTTCACGCTTCACTTGAATTAAACATTTTGAATGCAGAAGTGTTACTGTGCAGTGTATGTGTAAATATATTTAATTTCCCTCTAGGTGTGATATCCCTGTGCACACAACCTTTACACACAAATGCATATAACTAGCTGTGTTTAGTTAGCCCACCCTTCAGAGTAATGAAGTATACACTTTTACCTTCACAATGGTAGTTTTTATTGTACAGCTTGATTGCATTAAATTGAGTAGTAACATGATTTTTTTAGATACTTATTATACTAGGACTACCTACAAGCAACATTACTACTGCGTGTTTCCAAGTTTCACAATTCCTCCGCCTATTGTTTTTTAGATTGCCTTGTCGAGCCTCTTCCCTCCAGAAATCACGTCCACAATCCTCCTCGATGTTTCATTAAGCAGTAAGAAGGTTAGGATTGGAAATAGCAAATCAAAGTTAATCTGCCTGTTAATAAGGGATTTTATTAATTACATCTCTTTGGAGGAGAGTTTTATTTTTTCAGAGCTGCTTTTCCTGCCGATTTTAAAAGCGTTCAAGGGGTTTAATATTTTCAAACGTACAGCTGGTGACTAAACTTAGTCCTGGCATTAGCATGGGGAATTGCTGACTTTGGAAAAGCTCCCGTAACTGCAGAGTTATAAATGCGAGGAGGGATTTAAATTCCCCTTGAGCTACCTCTAGACAAATAGATGGACCTCCACAAAAACAAACAAACCTCCCACTCACATGCAAACAACAAAGGAAATACAAACAACTCTTGAAAGCCACCCAAAGGGATGACCACGGAGAGGTTTGAGCATATGAAAGTGATTCCCAAAATGTACCTTCCAGGTTTTTCCCCCATAGTGAAATAAAACATGTGCTGTGTTTTACCCACAAAGCAATGAAGTATTACAACATCCGGGCCTCTTTGTTGAGAGTAGTTCTACTTCACATCTTCACATGTACTTCGTTTCTGGAGGATTAAAGATAAAAGAGTCAATTCAAATGCTGTCATTTGGCAAATGCATGTTTCTAATCAGGAATTAGGGCCTTAATAATAATATGGATGTGATGAGCATTTTCTTCTGGTGCTAAATCTCACAGATATTCATTTCAAGCATGCAAATCAGGGGCAGATGGAATTAGCCAGGAAGTGTGCGGGGGATGAGAGATGTGTCGCTAGGGGTCGACGCCTTTTGTGGAACATAAGTCCCATTTATCCCAAATTAGGACGGGTGCGGCACTGGTTCGCTTTGATGTTCCTCTTGGCGGGAGCCTGGGTGGAGTGCAGAGGGGGCACGGGGCAGATTGCTGGAGCACAAACAGATGTTCAAGGCTCATCCTTTGAGGTGGTGATGAAACGTTGCCACAGTGAGACTCTTTGCATCCCACTGTCAGTCAGTTGACACTAAGACAAGGGGCAGGGCTGCAGTTGCTACTTTTAATGGTGCTGCATATGGGCTGTTATACCAACAGCAGCAGATCAAGCAGTTTGAACTACATCTGTGCTCAGTTGAAGGCTTCCGTGTATTGCAATGTGTTGTAAAAACGTACTACCCTGTAAGCATTTGATGGCTAGTGAAGAAAATGTCCAAAGTACAATACAATGGTTTGGTAAAATGATGCTGAAATTGTTCTTAAGTCATTTAACCAAACGGTGCAGCACACAGCAGCTCTTATCTGACACATGCCTTCTCAACCTCATCGCTCTACATTTCAACAGGTTGCACCACATCTGCACCACGTCTAACTGGTTGCATTTTGTCTATGTTACTTCAGGAATATGACGAGGACTACGGAACGACTTATGATGACCAAGGATATGAATCGTATGACAACAACTACAGCAATCAAGGACAAAAGTGAGTTATGCTCTTATTTGCACATCCCCCTGTCTTTAAGGCTTTGTGACCTTTTGCCAAGTCCCGCGAATTGAACGCAGACCGGCCAATCATAGCGTAGCATCGTCCAGGTCCGGACAAGTATCCAGCTCTGCTCCATAGACTCTCAATGCAATGGTTTCAGATTTCCTTCATGTCTAAGCTTGTTTTGTGGATTTGGAGCTCGTCATAGTGATACTCGTTACCAGGAGAGGTTGGAAGGAGATATGCGTTTCTAAAACGTTACATTTATACGTACAAACCTGTGGAGCTAATATAAGTAGAGTAGGTTAGCACATTATTAACTAGCATTAGCACTTCAATGCTGCTCTAGCTGCTGCACGTAAGCACATACTGCTTTTTAATGATTGTAACAACACCCTGTTTCCATCAATGAGCGTAGGCTGATTAACAACCACTCTGTATCACGCAATTCAACTCAACTCAACAGCACCACAAGATAAATCCTCCCAAATGAACATGAAGTTGAATCAACACCTCTCAGAAACAGTTTCAACAACAACTGAACACGAAAAGCTTCTGGAAGGGGAAGTTATTGCAGGTCCGTTGTATTAGAATGCATTATCTTTAGATAGGTGTACCTCGTAAACTCAGTGCACTAATGAAGAATAAATGACTCCAATTGAACTGGGTTATCATCATAGTACCCTTTAGAGTCCATACCAGGGCAAAAACATGACAATGGCAGGACTCCTAACAGCTTGAGTGAGAGCACTGAATAAAAAAAAGACAAGTTATATTTATACAAATTGATGAACAGCATCTGAGGGAAGAAAATCTGCTGCAGTCTGGCCATTTGGGCTGGAGTAAATGTGAGAGAACATGCGGTAAACTTGAGATTTGCGAACAGCTGGATGATGGTGCTTGAGCTGTTAGGAGTCATTTATGCTCATTTTCTGCCCTGCTTGAAACTGGAAAGAACAGTCTGCGTTATTGAAGTATTTTGTGAAGTGTGAAATGTTTTAACTGACCTTTAAGTTGTCTTTTAAGATTAACTCATAAAAAGATAACTTTCACCTTGAATTCCACTTAAAAAACGATGCGGTACGATGCGTGCACGGCAACATCTCTAACTTTGTTTTGGAAATAAACCAATCGCACCAGACTCAGTGACGTGCCAGCTCATTACGTTAAACATAATATCCTTTGTTTTTATCACCCTTTAAATATATAGCTAAAGGTGCATTTGGCTCAATGTATTTTTATGGCGACACAAAATAAACAGCCTTAGTGATACGTTGCTCCATTTAACAAAGAGTCTTACACAGCTAAATGCAAAATATTGATTTTCTTATATCCAGGGAGCTATAACACTTGTACAAGCCGCACAAGGTCAAAGGCTTTCTCTTCGGTGTGTTGGTGCCCAACTCTGTTTCATCAGCACACAATGTGCGACATTTATGTATGCCTGTCTGTGCCACTTCAAAGAAAATGTAAAGTTGCAACATTTAGTCTGTCATCAAAAAATTGGATTGTATTGGCAGCAGCTGGAAAAGATGAAAACAGACAGAGAAAAAAAAAGAACATTATTCTGTCCTTTGGCTTTTGTGGAGCACGGTGGTCGATGTTGTCTTTTGTCGAGGTGTCAGGATGTATGTCATCCAGGCTTCATCCATCTTTTGTGCTATCTCTTTTTCTGGGGCCAGATCTCACACACACACACACACACACACACACACACACACTCCTCTTCCTCTCTAACACACCGAGGGTTGTATCTTGAAGTGTCGGTGGCTGTGCTCGCTGGGGAGAACGCAGGTCCGCCTCAGGAATCTGCAGCTATTTGTTTTATAAGCATCCTCGTGAATAATGGTGGGGGTGTTTTGGTAAAGGTGGCGGGGCGCACCGGGGATGGCAGCACAGAAAAAAATGAAGTCCATCATATGAAGGCTGGAGGCTGGGTCGACTCCGAGAGATTTTCATGTCTGTTAACTGGTGGGAAACAAAGCAGCTAATAGGGCCCAGACATGGAAGCCTTTGCCTCCAGAGACAGCTGATTCACTTACTTCTTTTATTTCTGTGTCCTGGATTTAGTTTAAAAAGTTAGTGATCCTGCAGGCTGACATTGTGCATCTGTACAACATAAGCTTTATGCAATATTTATGTCATTTGACCAACCTTGAATTGATTCAATTTTGACAATTTGTCTGACAATACAAGATGTATTGTTTGGCATGTTCTCTTTGTTTGCCCTTTGTTTGCTCCTACAGTCAGAACATAAGAAATGATGTACATAATAGACGGGTTATCCATTTAATACCTTTTAATTATTGCACTTTAGCTACTGCAATCAATACTGCAACATAATCCCGTCCCGCCGTAGTTTCCTCTTCACAGTCACAAGCCTACTTAGCTTTTAGATGGACAACGGTGCATTATTTTCACCCCGAGCCCGAGGAAAGCCATAGCAGGTCCCAGCTGCAGCAGGGCCTCAAGGAGAGTGTGTCTGCGCGTGTGCCGGTGAGTGTGTTTGTGCATGTATGTGGACTAGAAGTCTCCTAACAATGTTTCAAGAGCCTAAGGAGCTCCCAGTCACCAATCTGAGCTCTGACTGCGTGGCAGGATTTCAGCTGCCGGAGGATAACAAGCAGAACAATTTACAGTCTCTCTGTCATGGTATTACCCCGGCGGCTTATGTTAGAAACAGGCCTGCCATTTGTGAACAGGAAGGGAAAGGGAAGAGGATGGTTTAAAAAAGGCTTTTGCTCATAAAAAGATTGTTATGCTGCATCAGTGGATTCACTGATGCCTTAATTATCTTGAAATATGTGTCCATAAAACATGAAATACATTTAGCTACACGTGGTTACACACAGCTATCTTACTATCCTAGGTAATACGGGTTTGTCCTCATGTTCCTCATCGGACACAGCATCACCATAGAGAGGACTCTATGAATTAGTTGGTCCACCATCAGAAGATTGTGATAATTGATTATCATAATTGAAAAAGAAATATTTTTGAGACCCTTGGCAACGGGATTTGCGGGACTTAAAAACATGAACTAGACAGAAACAGACACCCACCATAGCACTACCAGTAGTCAGAAAGCCCACATAGTGCCTAGGATGAAAGAAGTACGGGACAGTTGACTAAGTAAAATGGTCCAAAGTATTCTTCTCAGCAAAATGTAACTATCAAAGCAAATATTAAGGCAGATCCTTCGTTTCACAACAAGATCACATCCCCACTCGTCATATTTTGCCACCGGTGGCAGCCTTTTGCAGATCATCTTGACCCTGAAGCGGTCGCATTAGTTAGTAAAATGGTTTGGCTTAAATGAAGTTCGCTTGCAATGTAACACAAGCTACAGATGTTACGTAATGTGACTCAGTGGCATAGAGTCACGTCCTGTGACATAACTTCGTCAGTGATGATCACTCAACTTTTGATTAAACACGGGACACGAACGGCGGTCCTTAAAAGTCCTGTGTCGGTTTGACTCATTGATGTGTAAAAGAATACAGTCGCACACATGATGCAAAAACTAATTCAATGATTTCGCAACGTTTTGCCTTGTCTTCTTCAGGTGTCAATCATGGGGAGGAGAGTCCTCGAATCACAATACATGTAGTGGGAGGAGCACATAGCTTCCTGATTCATTAGGCATTTAAAAATTTGATCAGAACAACAGTTTTAATCAAAAGCTTGTACAGGCTCCTACAGTTTGTCCTATCCAGAACCCCTCCAACTCACCTTGAGCGCAATTCTCACTCTTAAATGCTACGTCTGTTTCTCTGTGTTAAATAATGACACAGATGGGTTTACTTTGGAGTTAGTTTAATGTCCAGTTCATCTCATACAGACGATAAACGGTGCCTTATGCGGTGGTATCAGACTCAGAGAGGCACTACAAAGCATTGGTATTTGACGCCCTGAGAGTGAGTTTCAGCAGAGACACGTCTGTTGTGATAACATCCTTTACCTGTAAGACATATTTTGATATTGTAAACTGTCACACAGTTTACAGCTGGCTAATGAATATGTATCAGTGCATCACAATTGTATTGTATATCCCATTCTGTAAGTCGTAGTAAAGCTGTCAGACAGATATTTTTAAACAATTAGATATATTTTTTCTGAATTACAGCCAAGAAATCTGTGGATCGCATCATTTTTAAAATGATATAGTTGCATAAGGCAAACACACATACTGGCTGTAATGTTTTACTTTATTACATATACTGTACATCTATTGTATACTACTGTCACTGTTGGGCAGTGACACTGAATGATACTGGATTTAACTGCTACTAATTGTAATACTGCACATTACCGTCAAACAGTAACCACTGACAAATGAGACAAGACAACCTGTGTCCCTACACTGTACGCATTCTGTCACACAGGACAGCCAGAATTGAGTAGTTTAGACATAATTAAATTTGAAGGGAGAATTTGTCACTCACAACCAAAAGACATGCGACTTAAGCTAAAAAGCTGTTTTCAGACGCCTTGAAGACATTCTGCGACATTTACATCTTTCAGAAGAGAGCTGACGCCTGGCGGAACCTTGTGGAACGTTACCTCAGCGTGACAGCCGTGGCGGTCGGGTCCGCCAGCTCCTAGATCACAGCGTCCCGTTACCGTGTTTATACAACACAGAGCACCGAGCCATCATCTTTTTTTTTTCGGAGAAGCAGCAGAGAGTTTCATCTCAGGAGAGTTATCGGAAGCTTCCAGCACTCCTGTACCAATCGAGTGCTAAGGTCAAGGAGGCTGCTTGTGTGGAGAGCGTCTTTAATTTCATCAGCAGAGAGAAGGTGACGTCTCTGCAGGGAAATGAGAGGGACGACAGCTGTGGCACGGCCCTGGCTGGACGCTTTGGAGAGGTCACGGCGAGGTCGTCTCTCGCAGCTCGGGTGCGATCAAAGCGTTATTTCATACCTGACACCTCAGAGACAGCCGGCTGCTGACACCTCGCACCTTCCCTCGTGTCTCGCTTTGGTACGCTACATTGT